AGTTTCGGGAAGGTGCAGTCACATGACTTTGTTAAAAAGAATGAAATAGCCGTTTGAAAGGACATGGGCCGCTCGCTTGTACAGTAATGGTGGGACATGAGACAGATTCCCCGAGTTATTATTAAAGTGACTTTAGATCTCAATGACTCCGTGGGCTCCAGTTGGTGCAAAGCAAAAGGAATTAGGGAAAATTTCCAAACTAGGTAGTCCCAGGCATGGCATTGGTATGTGGATTTTACTGAGCGAGATAGATTCCTATGATTTGAGAGAAGACGTTTATCTTTTTGAGCTGATGTCAGGGATGTAGTGGTATTTTTCATTAGAGATTAGTTAGGACAATATTCTTGGTTTTTCTCAGTTTGTGGGACCCTAAATCTGAGAGAGTGTTTTCCAGAGTCTTCTTTCTTATATCTCCTCTAGTTCTGTGAATCTACTGTAGTAGTAATAGTTGTTTGACTTTTTTATTACTTTGGTGAGAGCTGTATTAATAGGAGTTTAAGAATGATCTTGCGCATTAAGACCTGTCTAATTGCTTTTCATATGTGTGTTTCTTGTCAATTTGGATTCAAATGGTGCTGGTTAGCCATGGGCAACCAAGCCGTTATGTTTGTGATGCAGTCTTTTGTTTTTATAGGACATGTTTGTTATGTATTGTCTAAGTAATTTGTTAAGAAAATGTCTGTCCAGGTCCAGAGAGAAATCAGAGAGATCAAGAATCAGTTACAATTAAAGTGTCAACCATAGATACATGGACGCAATTTTGAGTGCAAGGAGTATGGCAAACAGTTCTGTTTGAAGGGTAGAGGCCCATATATTGATGCGTGCTCCAATTTCTTTATGAGAGCCCACTCTGTTAGACAACAGCAGCACTACCCAGCTGCACCATTGGACCTGGTGAACAGAACCATCAACGAAAATAATATGTGAAAGAGAGTATTCTGTGTGACTAATTTATCAATACAGCATAAGGCATCATGTTTGCTTTCAAGACGAAGCATTTGTTGTGATGTAAGAAGAGTTTTGGGGAGATATGGAGAATGGTAGTTTTGGCAAGTGGGTAATATCCCATGAAGCAGGGAAATGTCTCCTGTTGTCTAACTGATATAGAAATTAATGTAGCTTGATCATTGCGGAGGTCGGTTCCAGTTTTTCGTGATCATCTGGAAGATGTTCATCCAGTGGGCTGAGGAAAGTTTTGTGGAGGCTTCTGTGCAGGAAGGTTTGAATGGGGCTAGCCAAACATATTGACCCTGTAATAAAGGATATTTCTTTCAGTACCACGAACTCTAATGCTGGAATATAAGTTCTTTCGCAGATTTATAAAAGGGTTTGGGTTTTTTCTTATATATTTACAGGTAATGAATTCCAGATTTTAGGGCCTTTTATGTGCATTGAGTTTTTGCATAGTGTGAGATGGACACGAGGAACATCAAAGAGTGATCTGTGCCTTGTGTTATGGTCATGTGTTCTGTTGAGGTTGGCAAGGAGATGTTTGAGGGGAGGGTTAATATCAGAGTTAAGTGTTCTATGTATGTAATAGGTGCAGTAATAAGTATGGATGTTTTGTATGGTGAGTAGGTTTAGTGTTTACCTGGAGTTACCTGGAGAGAGTTCCGGGGGTCAACGCCCCCGCGGCCCGGTCTGAGACCAGGCCTCCTGGTGGATCAGAGCCTGATCAACCAGGCTGTTGCTGCTGGCTGCCTGTAGTGAGAATTTGTTATCATTCTAACTGCAGCCTTTTGTTGGGTAATTAGTGGTCTGAGATGGTTAATTGTTGTTGAGCCCCATGCACAAATTCCATAGGTGAGATAGGGGTAAATAAGAGAGTGATATAGGGCCAGGAGGGCTGACTGTGGAACATAGTACCGTATCTTCGATAGTATGCCTACAGTCTTGGAAATTTTCTTAGAAATTTGATGTATATGTGTATGAAATTTGAGTCTATTATCAAGGTGGATTCCTAAGAATTTCCCTCTGTTAGTTTTGTGATAGGTGATCCATTTATCATTATGTTAAGAGGGACATCTGTAGCTCTGTTACCAAACTGAATGAAGTAGGTTTTGTCAATGTTTAGTGTAAGTTTGTTAGTCCTCATCCAGGTAGATATTTTCTGTAATTGGGTATTTACAGTATTGGCTAGCGTGACTGGGCTCGGGTGAGAGAAGACGTATGTAGTGTCATCTGCAAATAGTGTGGGTTTGAGTAATTGCAAGCATTTGGAAGGTCTTTATGTATAGGAGAAAGAGAAGAGGGCCAAGGACACTTCCCTGTGGGACAACCAACTGTAATTGGTTGTGCAGAAGAGTTTGCCCCATTTGCGTACACATATTGGCTTCTGTTGCTGAGGTAAGACTTGAGGTAGTTGAGGGAGTGCCCTCTTATACCATAGTGTGACAATTTTACGTGGAGCAAATCATGGTCAACTGTATCAAAAGCTTTACGTAAGTCAATGAAGATCCCCAGTGGGACTTCTTTTTTCTCTGTTGCAGTGTATATATGTTCTAGCATGTGTATAATAGCATCATTAGTATTTTTATTAGGCCTGAATCCAAATTGGCAGGGGTTGAGTATGTTTTGGGAGATAAGGTAGGAGTAGATTCGTTTATGAATTAATTTTTCGAAGATTTTTGAGAGAGGGTGTAAGTTGGATATTGGCCTATAGTTATTCAACTCTGTTTGGTCTCCTCCTTTGCTGAACTGTTACGACTCGATAAACAACATGTACGCTAAGAGACAATATAATAAGTGTCAGAGGCCCAAGACTGTTCAGCTGCCTCCCAGCATACATAAGGGGGATTACCAATAGACCCTGGCTGTCTTCAGGAAGGCACTGGACAGGCACCTAAAGTTAGTACCTGATCAGCCAGGCTGTGGTTCGTACGTCGGTCTACGTATGGCCAACAGTAATAGCCTGGGTGATCAGGCTCTGATACACCACGAAGCCTGGTCACAGACCTGGCTGCGGAGGAATTGACCCGCGAAATCCTCTCCAGGTATACCCAGCTAAGTTACTGACATGGGTTATCCTTGGTAATTTTCTTCAACTATGTTTGATAATTATATTGTGTACATGTACTTAAATAAACTTACTGTAGCTTGGTTAGTATCACACTCAGCTTGTACATCGAGAGGTCTGTGGTTCGATCCCGGTAAGGATATACTCTACCAGGATTATATCGAGAGGGTGTTCCAGGGTCAACACCCATGTGGCCTGGTCCATGATCAGGTCTCATGGTGGATCAGGGCCTGATCAACCAGGCTGTTACTACTGGCCACACACAGACCAACGTACAAACCACAGCCTGGCTGGTCAGGTATTTAATTTAGGTGCCTATTCAGCTGCTCCTTGAAGACAGTCAGGGGGATGGCTATTGGTAATTCCCCTTATATATGCTGGGAGGCAGATGAACAGTTTTGAGCCCCTGACACTTATTATGTTGTCTCTTAGCATACTCATGGCACCCCTGCTTTTCATTGGGGGGGATATTGCATGGCCTGCTGAATCTTTTGCTTTTGTAGGGAACGGTTTTCATGTGCAGATTTGGGACTAGTCCCTGTAGGATTTTTCAAGGGTATATTATCATGTGGCCTGGTAGGCAATACTCACTTCACGTGCTGAGTGTTTGTGGTTTGATCCCGGCAAGGGTGGGAACATCAGGCTGAGTGTGCTAGCTTGATTGCTAGTGCACTTGGCTCACACTGAGGTCTGGAGTTTGAATCCCCAGTACGGCTGGAAAACAGGATGTGTTTCCATAAGACACCTGCTGTCCATGTTCACCCATCAGTATAAAATGGGTACCTGGGTGTTAGGTGACTGGTGTGGCTCACATCCTGGGGGACAAGATTGAGAACCCCAGTGGAAATAAGACACAGTCCCTTGATGACTCACTGCCTTTCTGTTCTCTACCTTCCCTATATTTCCAGTCTTTCTAATGTCTATTTCATGCGCCTCTTGTCCTCTTCAGTACTTTGGAGGTACTGGCCACTCTCTTTCTGACAGACTCGAGGAGCAGAAAAGAAGTGTTAGACATGCCAATGTCAATAATGCTTTTTTCTGTTATGTTAGAAATCAGTCACTCTTTTGACTCGTCCTCTTCTAAAACTGTATACCCTACTTCTAACTTTCAGAGTCGTGATCTTGTTGAATCATCCCTTATACACAACTTTTCTTGTATGAATCTTAGCCGTGGCTTTGTCTCTGTTATATGCTTCCTTTCTCATTACATTGTCAAATTCTCCAAACTCCAAAACACTAGAGACTTAACCTGATCCTGTCTTCCTCTCCCTCTCTTTCTCTTTTCCTTTCCTTTCCTATTTTTCCTTTTTCTTTTTTTGTTTTCTATTCTTCTGCCTAGAGTGCTCTGTTCTTCGTTTTTTTTTCCCCGTGTTTTTGGTTCTACCCCTTTTGGACCCTTAGCTCTCCTTCAGTGCTCCTTTTTCTTGCCCTTTGACTGACCCCATTTCTACTACTACTGCTATACTACTCTACTACCATTCCTACTATGTACATTTGCCACTACCATTACTTTTGCCTCCACCCTTCCCTTTCCCTTCTATCTCTTGTCCCACTAAAACTACTCTCCCTACTTCTACTACTACTACAACTTTCTCTACCAGCCTTGCCACTACCACTACTACTCCTTTCCATGGTCCTGTCCCTGTCCCTGTTAGCTTGCCTATATATACTCCCTCTCTCTTTTTGTTAGTTTGACCTTGTCAGTGGTCCAAGTCAGACCAAAATATCATTGTAAGCTTCTCTTACCTATGTGTGGGTTATTTGTGTAGTATTTCTATAGTGGTTGTAACTACCATGGTTTGTTTCCTAAGGTTTGTGAGATTAGTACCTTCTTGTCTCCTTGGTCCAAAGAATTGAAAGTGCCCTCTTATTCCTTGAATCGAACCTCCCATTGCACAAGTATGGTATAACCCCATGAATATAATATTAAAAAATAATAATTTGGTATGTTTTACTAAGCTGATGTAGTAAATGATAATGCATTAATATCTTATTGTTTTTCCCAGGGTTATTGTCTGAAGATGATGTTACATCTGTGCTAGCTTAGACAACCATTACAACAAGAAGAGGAAGCAGAACATTCTAGATTATCTATTATGACAACATTCAGTGGGTGGATATTGTCAGTACTTCATCATTTATGTGATCTCTGAAAGACTTTATAAGCCTTAGTGCCTTACTTTTACTTTTAATATGAGCTCTACAAAGCTGATACATTCTAATGAACATTTTACATAAATTCCTGTGATACTGTTGCATTTGTTATCAGAACTAAAAAGTTGAAAAATACAGAAATTGCAACTTGCAGATAAATCAAGGTAAAATATCATCATCCTCGTATTTTTTGTGTATAAGTTTTTTTTTTATCAGATAAAATATAAAGACCAGTAGCCAAGTTAAAGAAGTTCTTGCAATAATTTTATTTTTATTATTTGCTTATGAATCAGAAATATAAAAATGGTATCACAGAGCAATATTTATTCCTGAAATGTATGGATCAAGCAGTCAAAATGAGGATTATGAAAGAAAATTATATACTTGCTTGATGTGATTTTATTCTCAATATGCCTTTTATGAGTAATGATACTGCACTTATAATGGAAACAGAGTAATCAGAAACTTAGGAGAAGAATACAACCCCAGCTAGGAAATAATTATCACTTGAGCATACTAAGAAAGTCATCACATTAAAATAGAAAAATTGAATATCTCTAGTAAGATATATAATTAAACATGTCATTTAGTGTGAAAATGGATGAAATGAGAGCCCTGCAGAGGCAAGATGAAGCAACACTCCCAATATTACAAAATAGACCACTATTAGATTCGGCTGATAATAGAGGAAGTGTAGTATCACTTCCACATATATCTCAGAGATCAGAGTTAAAGCCAGTGGAAGAAAATCTGATTCCATTATTTAACAGCAAATCACAAAATGTAGAAAAAGGATCAATATCCCCAACAGATAAGGGAAATTGTGAAATATTTCCTCTTATTCAAGAAGACCGTCATCCTTTATCTCGCTTAAAAGATGTTGAGCAAAATACTGTTTCCAAAAATCTGAGGCAAGAAACTGCACCATCATTTCTCTCAAAAAATGTGAAAACACTGGACAACTCTGTTAATGATGTTCCAGTCGTTTCCTGGAGGCTCAAATGTACTCCAGGTTTACTAGAAATCTTGCAGAGTCACATGCAGTGGTTCAGGACATTAATATCAGTGTATTGCAAAACACGAGGAGCAAATTTTGTTGAAGCAACAACATTTGCTGATTATGTTCACTTGGTGAAACTTGAGGCCGGTGTTGCTAAAATTTTTAGTAAACATAAAAATAAATCTGAATCAATTTTTACTACAGAATATCTTTATTCACAAAGTGCTTCTTATGGCATCCATACCCTTAATGTTTGTCACTTAAGGGACTTGCTTACACAAAGTCCCCTCTTTGTGTATTCTGCTGCCACAGGATTATGGAAGAAACATTATCTTAATAATGGTTAGTGATTTTCAGTGTTTCAGTGAAAATAATGTAAATATTGTATGTTAACTGAAAACACCCAGCTAATAAAAAAAGTTACTGACCCCATTAGTGAACTGAAAATTTGATTAGGTCTCTCTATCCCCTTCAGGAAATGCCTAATGTTATAGTAATCATACATGTTCCTGTTTAACCATATTCTTGATTATGTCACTAGTTTGCCAGAGAGCATGCTTTGACTATTTTTTGCATTCACTTTGTTGTAATTGTTAAGTATCATAGCTGGAACAGTTCACAACTAACCCACAATATATACAGATCTGTAGTTTCATGTATATCTTCAGTATAATAATTTTTTTTTTCAGATCCTAACATACTTAACGAAGAGTTTCATTGGCGAGGAATATTATGCATGAGACACGTGTGGACTGCCTCAATCATGTCCCAGTCCACAAACAGTGTCCAAATTGCAAGCTTAGAAGCTGTTGTTGGCAAGTCAGTTATGACTGATCATCAGATATTCCAACAAATTTGTTATGCTTTGCATATGCCTCGTTGTGAAGAGATAATGGAGTCCATGAAGAGTCTACTGGTATTATCATCATCATTTACCATTTTTGAAAAAGGAAGAGGTTGGTATCTTGAAATGTTGGCAAAAATTTATTTTTCGAAACCCAAAAACCATTGTTTTTAACCCTTTCAGGGTTTCAGCCGTACTAGTACGGCTTACACACCAGGGTTTTTGACGTACTAGTACGCCTAAATTCTAGCGCCCTCAGATCTAGTGAGAGAAAGCTGGTAGGCCTACATATGAAAGAATGGGTCAATGTGGTCAGTGTGCACAGTATAAAAAAAATCCTGCAGCACAGTGTGTAATGAAAAAAACAAACTTTGACTGTTTTTGGATTAAAACATCGACTTTGCACTGTATTTTCGTATGGTATTTATTGTTGTATTCTAGTTTTCCTGGTCTCATTTTATAGAATGCAAGACATATTACAGAAATTGAGATGATTTTGACTGGTTTTACAAAGAAAACTACCTTGAAATTGCACTCAAAGTAGCAGAAATGTTCGATTTTTACCAAAGTTCAAAAGTAAACAAATCATGCTATGCGTCCAATACACGTCAACTGGTGAGTCTAATATTCTTTCACAAGTGCGCTGATAATATTTATACCATTTCTACACCAATGCAGTAGTCTGCATAACAGTAAATCTTCTATTTTTTTGTGAGAATAAAACTTCAAAGTGGAAAGCAAAAGAATGTAAGAGGGGCATGGGGACGTGACTAATGAACAGAGGAAATGTTATTTTAGTGCCAGGAATGTCTTTCTTGTTTATTCTGGACCCTATTTGGAAATTGGCATCTTTTGCAATTTGTGTGAAATTGGCAAAATTGCTAAATTCTGACCACTTTATTGGATAGTTGAAATCGGTAAATAGGTGGTTTCTTGTACTCATTCGATAGAAAAAATGGAGTTCTAGCGAAATAGTTATGATTTTTGTCAAGTACACTGGAATTGGCCGAAAATAGGGCTCAAAGTGGGCAAAATCGCCGATGCGTAAACATCGTCAAGACCGCTAATTTCATGAAAGCATAATTCCGTAAGGTTTCCATCAAATTTCATACTTTTGGTGTCATTATGATCAGGAAAAGATTCTCTTTTCATAAGAAAATATTTTTTTTTGTTTAAATTTGGCCGACCCTGAGAACAAGTCTCTGAGAGGGCCTGTTGACCCTGAAAGGGTTAAAAGCAAAAAAAAAAAAAAAAAAAAAAAAAAAATTCTTGGTTCTTATTTTCAGCAAAATTTGTTGATGAAACCCCACCCATTCTCTTATTTGTTCTCCTTTTACACTCCCTAACCATTCTCTTAACCTCTCTTTTACTCTCTATATACTTGAGTCCTGGAAATGGGAAGTACAATGCCTGCACTTTTAAAGGAGGGGTTTGGGATATTGGCAGTTTGGAGGGATATGTTGTGTATCTTTATACGTATATACACCTACCATCCGACTTACGACCGAGTTCGGTTCCGAGAAACCAGTCGTAAGTTGAAATGGACGTAAGTCGAACTTTACTACTGAATATCAATATCACATTTTTGTAATGACTATTTTATTGTTTTATTATGGTATTTCATGTTTTAATTTACTTTTTATGCTGTTAATACTGTATTTTATACTGTAAGGTTTAGTATAAACACTGTGTACAACACAAATAGTTGTTTATTTCCCAGAAATTTGGCAAAAAAAACAGTCGTAAGTCGAGTGGTCGTAAGTCGAGTGGTCGTAAGTCGAGTGGTCGTAAGTCGAGTGGTCGTAAGTCGAGTGGTCGTAAGTCGAGTGGTCGTAAGTCAAGTGGTCGTAAGTCGAGTGGTCGTAAGTCGAGTGGTCGTAAGTCGAGTGGTCGTAAGTCGAGTGGTCGTAAGTCGAGTGGTCGTAAGTCGAGTGGTCATAAGTCGAGTGGTCGTAAGTCGAGTGGTCGTAAGTCGAGCAGGTCGTAAGTCGAGCAGGTCGTAAGTCGAGCAGGTCGTAAGTCGGATGGTAGGTGTACTTCTAAACTGTTGTATTCTGAGTACCTCTGCAAAATCAGTGATTATGTATGAGTGAGGTGAAAGTGTTGAATGATGATGAAAGTATTTTCTTTTTGGGGATTTTCTTTCTTTTTGGGTCACCCTGCCTTGGTGGGAGACGACTGACTTGTTAAAAAAAAAAAAATACTCTACCCTCCATGTATCATTTCTGCTTTGTAAAAACCTCTCATAATCTAACTTTTTCTCCCTTACCACTTTCTTTAACATGTCATTCCATCAGTCACTCCTCTTCCCTCCTGTATCCATCCTCCTATATTCACAAGCTTCTGCTGAACACTTAACATTGCATTCTTAAATCCCATATACTGCTTCAACCTACTCCTCATTACCTATACTCTAGCCCATCTTTCTCTTGACATGTAAACAGTCCAAACGTATACAGGAGGGCCCCACTTACATGGCGGGTTAGGTTCCAGGCTACCGCCGTAAAGCGGAAACCGCCGTAAAGTGGAACACCCTTTTTTTCCACTTACAAATGCATACAAACACTAGATAACAAGTTTATACTAACATATATTATGTTAGCAATAGAACCAGGCATCAAAAAACAATAAAAAAGTACAATACACACATAGTGCACTCATTACTTACCTTAAAATATTTATAGTCTTAATCTAGGGTGAGACAAGCAGTGTTTATTGTAAGAAATCAAGTGTGGTATGTATGGTAGTCAGCCAGGCTACCATACCAGGCCACCCCACCCACACATACTAATTCTATGATATTTAAGCATCCAGAGCGATAAAATGTATATACAGTTCACTTCATTACTTACCTAAAATATAGGGTGAGATGAGTAGTATTTATTGTAAAAAATCAAGTGTGGTATGTATGGTAGTCAGCCAGGCTACCATACCAGGCCAACCCACCCACACATACTATTCTATGATATTTAAGCATCCCAGAGCGATAAAATGTATATACAGTTCACTCATTACTTACCTTAAAATATAGGGTGAGATGAGTAGTATTTATTGTAAAAAATCAAGTGTGGTTTGTATGGTAGTCAGCCAGGCTACCATACCAGAGAGAAAGAATGAGTGCATGAGAGAGGACAGGCGCAGAGTTATGTAAACAAACCAGGCGAAGGTAAGTTTTGTAAACAGTGTACACGTCTGGTTTGTGTACAAGTTACATTGTGTACAGGTTGTCTCTACATTGATACGGTAGAATAAATAAAGAAGAACACTCCCATTCTCATGTAACATCATTTTGAGAAGAAATGATGCTCTGAGTGAAGGCAATGGAAGTAAAAGTCACTCTGACTTTTTTGGGTTATCCTAGGTTCTCTACACATATGTTATGTATTTATGTTATTTATCGTGTTTATTATATAATTTTGAAAAAAATATCACGGATGGATTAATGAAAATGTGTATATTAACGTAATATACAACATTTAATGATACACCGAGCTCAGACAGCGTAAACAAACAAACAAACTGAACAGGTTGTGGACGATCACTCGGTCAGGCGAAATAGACGGTATTAATACGTGTCCAGTTTTAGTTCATTCATGTACATTTGTTAGAGTTTGTGAAACTTTTACCTTATAATATTTTTATTATAATAAATCACGAAACAAATACTCTTACACTGTGTACAAGTTAGTACAGAATTATAGCTATAAAGTGAAGGCATACGAAAGGAATATTTTTCTACAGTTATCCATAGTAACAGGTGACGGGCTAGAGAAAACGTAATTCTTCCGACACTTCTACAAACCGTTTGGTAAACATCTCATATATATTTGTATAAATTTTTATACTGTGGGTGCATGTATCATGTTTGTGTGTTACATAATGTGTTTCTTATATAATTTTGAAAAAATATCATAGATTAAGGGAAATGTCTATATTAACGTAATATGCGACATTAATGAGCCCAAGAGATTATTATTATTATTACTATTATTACTATTATTATTATTATTATTATTATTATTGCATCAAGAGTAGAGAGACTCTTAGTGATTTTAATGTGTACCTACATGCCAACACAGTGTGTAAGTTTATTTAGGTACAGGTGTACACAAGTTTATCAAGTACAATACATATAAAATATACAATAACTTTAAAACACTTGAAATTTTGGAAAGTTTCCAGACATAATAAGGAGATGTGCTCAGGGAGAATGTAAACAAACTCGGTGGGCCGCTGTGACCGTATTAGAAAGACAGGTGGGGGGAGCCGTATAGCGAGTTTTGGTCATAATTTGAAATGTCCGTATTAGCGGAACGCCGTAAAGCTGGGACCTGCTGTATATACGTTCACTACCCCAGTGCCCTGAATATTTTGAAAAATAAAAAAATAGTTTTTCTTTTTTAATGAAAATAAAGAGCACATTTTTCTAAGTGTTATAGGATAAAAAAAAAATTAGGGTCAGTACTTAGAGATATGAGGCCCAGAAGTTGGCACTGGATGCTCACGTGACAGCAACATCGAGTCCTGCTGCTTGCAGAAGTGTTGCCGATATACCTTTTTTTTCTATTTTCATATTTTGTATAATTTTTATGTTCTGATAATCATAATTTATAGTAGTTCTTGTCATTTCATAACCAATCTTTGTTCTGACACTAGTGTTAGGTACTGAAATTGTACTCTAATTGTCACAAACAAACTGACAGGTGGACATTTACACCTGCCTTGGCCATTTACTATTGTCTGGGAATATATACAAAGTATTTATAGGTCCCAGCAATGTTTTGGATATGTGGAAGTATATAATAATAATGAGGAGGAGGAAGAGAAAGAGGAGGAGGAAGAGGAGGAGGAGGAAGAGAAAGAGGAGGAGGAGGAGGAAGAGAAAGAGGAGGAGGAAGAGAAAGAGGAGGAGGAAGAAGAGGAGGAGGAAGAGGAAGAGGAGGAGGAAGAGGAGAAGGAGGAAGAGGAGGAGGAAGAGGATGAGGAAGAGGAGGGTGAGGAGGAGGAGGAGGGTGAGGAGGAGGAGAAGGAGGGTGAGGAGGAGGAAAAGGAGGGTGAGGAGGAGAAAAGGAGAGTGAGGAGGAAAAGGAGGGTGAGGAGGAGGAAAAGGAGAGTGAGGAGGAGGAGGGTGAGGAGGAGGAGGAGGAGTAGGAGGGTGAGGAGGAGGAGGAGGAGGGTGAGGAGGAGGGGGAGGGTGAGGAGGAGGAGAAGGAAGGTGAGGAGGAGGAGAAGGAGGGTGAGGAGAAGGAGGGTGAGGAGGAGGAGGAGGAGGGTGAGGGGGAGGAGGAGGGTGAGGAGGTGGGTGAGGAGGAGGGTGAGGAGGAGGAGGAGGAGGGTGATGAGGAGGAGAGAAGGAGGGTGAGGAGGAGGAGAAGGAGGGTGAGGAGGAGAAGGAGGGTGAGGAGGAGGAGGAGGAGGGTGAGGAGGAGGAGGAGGGTGAGGAGGAGAAGGAGGTGAGGAGGAGGAGAAGGAGGGTGAGGAGGAGGAGAAGGAGGGTGAGGAGGAGGAGGAGCATGAGGGTGAGGAGGAGGAGGAGGGTGAGGAGGAGGAGGAGGAGGGTGAGGAGGGGAGGAGGAGGGTGAGGAGGAGGAGGAGGAGGGTTAGGAGGAGAGGAGAAGGAGGGTGAGGAGGAGGAGAAGGAGGGTGAGGAGGAGGAGAAGGAGGTGAGGAGGAGAGGCGGGTGGGAGGAGGACAGGAGGGTTGAGGGGAGGAGAGGAGGGTGAGGAGGGTGAGGGGTGAGGAGAAGGAGGTGTGAGGGGGGGAAGGAGGGTGGGAGGAGGAGAGGAGGGTGAGGAGAGAAGGAGAGGGTGAGGAGAGGAGTGAGAGGCGAGTGGAGGTGAGGGGAGAACCTAAAATAATACATGTAATAGGTAATAATAAGTTCCCTTGTAGCATGAAAAACAAGTCCACCCCTGACAGTGACATGATAAGATGAGATAACATTTGATAAGAGCTGACATTTGATGAGCATGGCCCTGCTTTGTTGTCGCTGGTACACAAACATGTCTGTCTATTTGTCTGTCTGTCAAGCTCCCTGTCTATCTGTCTATCCGTCTAGCTCTCTGTCTGAGAGAGAGCCACAAGACTGGGTCATCACGTTTACTCATATCTTCAAGGAGAGTTTAGCACTTTGTCTGGATTTTTTGGGTTATCCTAGGTAATTTACACTATATATACTTGTATTTATGTGTACCTGTGAGACAGACATAGACAGATAGGCAGAGATAGACCGAGACAGAGACAGACAGAGCTAGAGCCTGGCCACCAGCAGCCGGCCAGCCACGCAGCCGGCCAGCCATGCAGCCGGCCAGCCAGCCAGCCAACCAGCCAACCAGCCAGCCAATCAGCCAGCCAGCTAGCCAGCCTGCCAGCCAGCCAGACAGAATTGTTTCTCTTTACTTAGGGCATAGGTTATAAGACATTCTGAAAGGGTGTTGCACAAATGTTGCACATGGGTTATTATCGAGATTTTTTGATATTTCATCGACCACTTATGGTCACATCCACCACAAAGCCACTAAACTCGGGGTCAAAATCACTTTCCTCTTAAAATGGGAGAGTTAATACTACATGAAATCAGTGAATCCCAGGTGTTTGCTGCGCTGTTTGCTCTAACTGGCGCTCATTTGAACTGGTACTTCCACAAGGTGCTAAGTGGTCCCAGATTTTTTTAATGCCGTGCACACTAAGTGTTAGGACCCATTCTATGCTGACAAGGCATCTCAGGCCAATCGTCCCAAATTTGAAGGCAGGAAAAATAAAACGTATATAAATACGTTTGGGGCACTAGCGGTAAAAACATGTATATACGTTTGGACCGTTTACGGGTTAACAGTTGCTTATATTTCACCCAGACTATCTTCTTTAATTTATAATCTTTTACTTCTTTCCTCAAGATATTCTCTTTGTGCCCTTTTTTTCTTTTCCTCTTACTGTAGCTGCAACTAAATACATGTATTGATCTGATATACCCATTACCTCTCTAAAATTATGCACATCCAGAAGTCTACCCATCTACCTTTTATCTACTAATACAGTGTCACAAACTGCTGTCATTGGGCCTATATTGTATCTTGTGTACTTATTTGTCCTCTTTTTTTTTGTTTTTTCCTTAAAACATGTTCTGCTTATTACTAAACCTTTTTCTATACAGCCTCTCCTCACTTAGTAATGTACACATACTCGTTTACCGACGCCTCGGACTTATGATGGGATCTCCGACTAGTATTCATACCTAAATAATGTATATTAGAGCTGATTTCCTCTACAGCCTCTCCTCACTTAACGACGGAGTTAGGGGCCTAGGACCCCATCGGTAAAGCAATTCGCTGCTAATTGAGGAATCACCCCTTACTGACACTTCAAAAGTGTCACCACCCAAATTAAAACATTAAGTTTTATGTTTGCTGGGAGATTCCTTTCAGTCTGTTTATTATTAACCGTAATACAACATGAAATAGGTCAGTGACTTCCGAGATATTTCAGGAAACGTGTGCATAGCTAATTACAAATCATGCCATGTGTCCAATACGTGTCAACCGGTGAGTCTAATATTGTTTCACAAGTGCACTGATATTATTTATGCCATTTTTACAATAATTCAGTAGTCCGCATAACAGTAAATCTTCTATTTTTTGTGAGAATAAAAATTAAAAATGGAAAACAAGAGTAATATAAGAGGGGCCTGGAGACATGACTAATGAACACAGAAAGTTATTTTAGTGCCAGGAATGTCTGTCTTGTTTATTCTGGACCCTATTTTGAAATTGGTGGGATTGAACTCCAAGAGCTAGTTACTGGACCAGGCCTGCAGCCTGTCCAGATCGCTTTGTAGTTCTGCCTGGTCCTTGTCCGATTGAATTCTTCTCATCAACTTCACATCATCTGCAAACAGACACACTTCTGAGTCTATTCTTTCTGTCATGTCGCTCACAAATACTAGAAACAGCACCAGTCCTAGGACTGACCCCTGTGGAACCCTGCTAGTCACAGGCACCCACTCTGACACCTCACCATGACTTGCTGTTGTCTTCCTGACAGGTATTCCCTGATCCATTGCAGTGCCTTCCCTGTTATCTCTGCCTGGTCTTCCAGCTGTTGCACTAATCTCTTGTGTGGAGCTGTCAGATGCCTTTTTACAGTCCAAGAAGATGCAGTCTACCCACCCCTTTCTCTCTTGTCTTATTGCTGTCACCCTGTCTTAGAACATGTGTGTGTGTGCACTCACCTGTTTGTACTCACCTTTGTGAGATTGCAGGGGTCAAGTCATAGCTCCTGGCCCTGCCTCTTCACTGATTGCTACTGGGTCCTCTCTCTCCATGCTCCATGAGCTTTATCAAACCTCGTCTTAAAACTACGTATGGTTCCTGCCTCCACTTTCTAGGCTATTCCACTTCCTGACAACTCTACGACTGAAGAAATACTTCCTGATGTCGCTTTGACTCATAGGAGTCTTCAACTTCCAATTGTGACCCCTTGTTTCTGTGTCCCATCTCTAGAACATCCTGTCTCTGTCCACCTTGTTAATTCCTTGCAGTATTTTATATGTTGTTATCATGTCTCCCCTGACCCTCCTGTCCTCCAGTGTTGTCAGGCTGATTTCCCTTAACCTTTCTTCGTAGGGCAATCCCCTTAGTTCTGGGACTAGTTTCATTGCAAATCTTTGCAATTTCTCTAATTTCTTGATGTGTGCGTGCGTGTGTGTGTGTACTCGCCTAGTTGTAGTTGCAGGGGTCGAGTCACAGCTCCTGGCCATGCCTTTTCACTGGTCACTGCTACGTCACTCTTCCTGCTCCGTGAGCTTTATCATACCTCTTCTTAAAACTATGTATGGATCCTGCCTCCACTACATCACTTCCTTGACTACTCTCATTGAAAAAATCTCATTACAATTAATTGATTTGAATCTTATGTGCAAGTGAGGATGAATGATGCTCTTCAGAGGCTACGTTACTTTATTTGGGTTCTTGGTACACAAGTAGTGTGTTCAAATGCCCTGACCCAGGAGAGTGTGACGGAGTAGACCTTGTTTCCCGAGTGAAGTCGGCCGCCTGAGTGAGAGCCAGGTAAATGTGGTGCGGGCTGTGCTGGGTAGGCTTATAGGTGGCAGCTCCAGCATGGCACAAAATATGAACCCAGCTGGGCATACAATACTTCCTAACATCCCTGTGATTTATCTGAGTCTTCAGCTTCCAATTGTGACCCCATGTTGCTGTGTTCCATCTCTGGAACATCTAGTCTCTGTCCACCTTGTCAATTCCTCTCAGTATTTTGTATGTCATTATCACATCCCTCCTATCTCCTGTCTTCCAGTGTCATCAGTTATTGCAAATTCATCAACTTCATTGAATTCTTCCAAGTTAATTTATTTGCAATTTTTTTGTGTGTTTTTTTTGCAGATACTGCAGTTAAGAATAATACTACACTTGCAGACACAGTTATTGCAAATTCATCATCTTCACTGAATTCTTCCAAGTTAATTTATTTGCAAAAGGAGGGAAATGAAAAACAAGAGCCCTGTATGCAAATGTTACCAAAGACAATAAAGTCTGAAGATTGCCAGACAATGCAGCCATCATGTCCTGGGACAGAAGTATCACAAGACTTAACACCAACCTTCCAGGTTACACCATTAGCAACCTCACAAAGAGTGGTTGTTGAGCAAAACAGTGAATTGGCATCACATCCACAGACTGAAGATACACATCAGCAGAAACAGTAAGTCTGCGTATATTTATGTTGAACCACTGAGGAATCACCCTCTGTAGTTATACCCTTAACCCTTTGACTGTTTCAGGCCCCTCTCTGAAACTGTCATTCTATGTCGCCAAATATTCGAAAAAAAAATTATTTTTTTCTTATGAAAATGTTAGGAATATTTTTAGTAGTGTTTTAAGCCTAAAAAAAATTTTTTGCCATCAGTACTTACCGAGATATAGAGCCGCAAAGTTTGCAGAAAGTGACGTGCGTACGGCAACAGCGGCGACCGCCGCCCACCCGGTATTCTTTTATTTACTCTAATTCAAAGGTTTCTTGCATTTTTCAATATTTTTCTGTTCCAGGTAACTTATGTGGCCTGTGAGACCAATGTAAGGTGCATTCTTCAAATATACACTCATTGTTTACAACACAATAACAGAACAAACTTTATCACTATTAGTTTGTGTATACACTTTGTTTACACAAACAAACAATACAAAACAATGTTTATTACTATTGTTCCATAATATATATACATATGTACAGTCACTAAACACGTTCCTAGAACTGCTGTAGCTTGTGGAACTCTTTGAAACATGGGTATATGCAGAGGGGCACTTCACACTCCTAACACATAAAATGAGTGTCTCTGCGTGTTTGTGGGCGTTTTGTGGTATGCATACATACATAACACCTCTTCTGAGCATTTTTCTTGGCAGTAGTAGGAGGCAGTTGTATGGGGTAGTGATCACCAGACCTCAAACGAGATGACGTCTGTGGGCGCTGGTCTATTGCAGGAGTTGCTCCTTGGTACTTTGCAATTATTTGTCTGATTACTGACAGGCAAAATTCACCATATTTTGGTGTTTTGTTGGTCTTCAACTTGTATATGTTATAAGCATTTAGCATAGAGATATCAACAAGATGGAAAAAAAGTTTTATATACCACTTATAACTCTTGTGTACACAGTCTGCAAACCCAATCTGCATGTCACATTTGTCCACTAAGCGCATATTGAGGTTGTAGTCCATGACAGCTGCAGGCTTTAGAATGGGTTCATTGGTCTCTCTGTTGTCCCTGCCACTGGGTACCATTTCGTTTCTGTGAACTGATGTCAACAATGTGACATCACGTTTGTCATGCCACCGAAATGCCATGATGTCATTGGCAGCAAAAGCTTGCACCTCACCTCTGCGAGTGCCAGCGTTGAGCCTTGGCATATGTTTACGATTACCACGCACTGTGCCACACACGTCTGTCAAGTTCACTCGCAAGAAATCACTGAGTAAGGGGCTTGTGTACCAGTTATCAGTAAATAACATATGCCCCTTACCAAGATATGGTTCCATCATTGTTCGAACCACATCACCAGAGATACCCAATAACTTCATGGTATCTCTCAAAGTATTACTGCCAGTATACACAATGATATCCAAAACTAGACCACTTCTGCAATCACACAGTACAAATAGCTTTATACCAAAGCGTTTCCTCTTGCTTGGTATATATTGCTTGAATGAGAGTCTTCCTTTGAATAAAATCAAGGACTCATCAATAACAAGCTTCCTGAAGGGATAAAAATACATGCAGCACTTTTGTTTCAGGTACATAAACACATTTCTGATCTTATATAACCTGTCGCTTCTGTCAGACCTGGTTTTGTCTGAAAAGTGTGACATACGTAACAGTATCGGGAAACGATTGACACCTATAATGTCACTAAAACCTGGAGTTGAAATCAGGCGTTCTGTTGCCCAGTATGTGGTGACAGTGTGCTTATACACATGTGGCATAAGCATTATTGTGGCAAAAAACAGGTACATCTCTGCCACAGTTGTCTCCTTCCACTTGTGTAGCCGTGATTTTGGTGAGAGAATTGTATTTGCCATGGTGTAATCACAGTATGTGTTTGTTTCCCTGACAATGATGTCCATCAGGGGTTCATCGAAGAATAACTCAAAGCAGTCCAGTTCACTGGCATTGTTCCCAAGTGGACAAGATGGCTTTATTCCACTTTGTGTTTCATCAAAGTCATGGGGACTGGGAACAAACTCGTCACCGTCCTGCCAATCCCAGATGCGGTCTGCTGGTGGGGTCTGGATATTGTACTGTGGTTGTGGTTGTGTAGGTTGTGGTTGTGCAGGTTGTGGTGGTGCAGGTTGTGGGAGTGTGGGGTAGGGTGAGGCTGGTTGTTGTGCTGCGTCAGCAGCGTGGGTAATAGCGTGGCCCGCTGATGGTGCCACATGGGCCGTGCCACCCTCACTATCACCACCACTGTCTCCTCCCTCACTGTCACCATTCATACCCATCGTTACAATATCGTCATCTTCACTATCAGGTCGTGGTGTAGGGCCACGGGATGTGCTCCCAGAGTTTCTCCTTCCCCTTGGAACAACATATGAAACACTACCAGACCGCATGCTACGTCGTACATACTGCCGCTTCACTGGGGAATATTCACTCTCACTGTCACTAGAACTGCTTTCAATGACCTTGAAATCACTATCACTGCTATCATCTGGGTGTTGTACACGACCAAATAGTTTCCTCTTTCGTCCTGGTACAGGCGAACGTGAACGTGAACAAGCCGGCACAGCACCAGAGGTGGAAGGCTGTGGGTCATCTGGGTTTTCATCACTAATTACGTTATCCTGGGCACTTTTTCCGGTAACACTCGCTTCAAAACCCTGGAATTCACTGTCACTGACATTTTCATCGCTGTTAGAGCTATCACTTGGGAACAAAAGACCTCCAATCTGCCGAGGAGTGAGGAACTTCTTACCGAGAGGCATGGTGAAAATGGACTAACAACATGGCGTTCCCACAATGCACCGCTGGGTCCCAGATTTTTTTCACAGGGTGCACACCGACCACTGAGACCCATTCTCTCTCGTGTAGGCCTACCAGGCCTTTGGCGCTTGATTTGAAACTGCTAAATTTGTGCGTATAAATACGTCAGAAACATTGGCTCGTAAGACGTATTTATACGTCGGAAACAGTCAAAGGGTTAAACCACTGGACTTGATCCTCATTAATATTTTCTGCTCAATCTAGCCTGCTGATTTCCATCCTGTAATGGGTTCCTGTTTTGTATGTTCACATAAGACTAGGATCACATAAGACTAGGAATTTGTCAATTCAGTGCAGTTTTTTTTTTTTTAAATTCTTCGACACTGAGTAGGGGTCTCAACAGTGAAAGGGTTAGAACAGTTGTCTAACACCAGTGTTACCTATTTATTGCTCAGTGAACAGGGGCATTGTGTAGGAAAGCATGTGCAAAATCTCCAGCCTTCCCAGGATTGAACCTGGGGCCCTTCTCAGATGGAATAAGATGTCAGTGACAAGAATTTAGGAATATATTGAGAGAATATAATTTTTTTTTAATATCCTTGTAACATTGTTGTATACAATGAAATTTTCTTTTAAAGGAGGTGTTTGGGATATTTGCTATTTGGAGGGACATCTAAACTGTCATCTATGTGTGCCTCTGGCAAGCAAGTGATAGTGTGAATGATGGTGAAAGTGTTTCTTTTTCAGGTCACCCTGTTTTGGTGGGAGACAGCCAGCATGTTTACAACAAAATAAATACTCATTTTGCCCTTTTGTAATTTTTTACTTTTGTATAACATTTTAGTAAGCCAATGCAAGTGGAGCAGCTAGGTGGCTCTCGCAAAACTGTGGAGAAGAATAATGCACCTATTACTAAAAAAAAGAAGTCATGCATTACTAAGAAAACATGTAAACAGCAGAACATGTCAGATCATCTCTCCAAGATTCTTAGTGCACCTCAGGAGCAGTACTTAGCACCTCTTCTCCAAGGTGAGTACTTTTATAGTCTTATGTAATTTAAAGTACAGCATACAGTATGATTACCACTCCTCTTTGCAAAGGATTCAGTAAAAAATAAAATTCATCAAGGATAAGGTATCTGTGCCATCAGTGCCAGGATGATACACAACCATGAATCTCTGAATTTGCTGATGACAATTTGTTGCTCCTTGGTAGTAGGTTGGTAGACAGCAACTGCCTAGGGAGGTACTACTGTTCTGCCAAGTGTATGTTAAATGAAAGCTTGTAATTGTTTTAAATGATGGTAGGCTTGCTGGTGTCTTTTCTCTGCCCCATAAACATGCAAGATTTCAGGTGTGTCTTGCTACTTCTACTTACACTTAGGTCACACTACACAAACATATATACACACCCCTCTAGGTTTTCTTCTATTTTCTTACTAGTTCTTGTTCTTGTTTATTTCTTCTTATCTCCATGGGGGAAGTGGAACAGAATTCTTCCTCCATAAGCCATGCATGTCATAAGAGGCATCTACAGTGCCAAAAGCAAGGGGCTAGTAACCCCTTCTGTATATATTATTAAGCATATGGGGATCTTTATTCAGGAAACGTTTCGCCACACAGTGGCTTCATCAGTCCAATACAAAGAGGAAGGTGTAAGGAGAGGATGAGAATGAGGTAATCAGTCCCTCAACCTGGAGTCGATGGACTGAACACATCGACTCCAGGTTGAGGGACTGATTACCTCATTCTCATCCTCTCCTTACACCTTCCTCTTTGTATTGGACTGATGAAGCCACTGTGTGGCGAAACGTTTCCTGAATAAAGATCCCCATATGCTGCATAAGTGTCTCAATCTTCAACTTGTCGGTTTTTCAAACCATTCATCACATATATTATTAAATTTAAAGAGAAACTTTCGTTTTTCTTTTTGGGCCACCGTGCCTTGGTGGGATACGGCCGGTGCGTTGAAAAATAAAAATTGTTACTACAGTGTTTCCATTACCTCAGATGACACAACAGGCTGACCAAGTGGTATATGATGAACACTTGACAGAAATGAAAAATAAATAACTTCAACTTCACCATCCCGAGCTGTAGCTGAACTTGAAATATGGTAAATTAAGGATGACCTGAGGAAAGCAGCTGCAGCCAATGCTATTTCAGGCTCAGCCTACAATTTCTAAACATGTTTTCTATGTCATCTTAAGTTCACACAAACCCCTAATTCCAAGAGTAGCAGCCAGCAGCTGTTCCCAACAATTCCCCATCAATGAATGTCCAATTGACATGCTCAAAGCCATGTTTGAGGCATATACATCCAAATTCCAAGAGTACCTAAAGCTCAACAAACATATGTGAGCTAAAGTACAGGTTTCCCTCAACATTCACGTTTTCAACTTTCACGGGCTTCACACATTCGCGAATTCCCAACCGCCAAATTCCCAGCCACCAAATTCCCAGCAGCCAAATCATATTTAAGTTTCCCGCCACCTGCGAGTCCCTACTACCCTCCCTCCGACCCCCGCAACTGGCAGCCAGCCCTCCCACCACTCAGTGTGGTGAGTGTTTTGTTTGTTCATTATTTGCTATTAAACTACAGTATAAATAATGTAAACACATTCATGACTGCATATTGGAATGGCTATTCGGACAGGTATTAGACAGTGACATCATGTGTTTACTCTTGAACACTGCAAAGAATTAAAAATTTCTGCTACAGCTAATAATAACAATAGTAATAATAATAATAATAATAATAATAATAATAATAAATATGAAAAATTGAAGAAGGAAATTGAAAAAAAAATACGGGGGAGGGGTTGACACATCGTCTGTGACTTTTTTTTATGCTGGAGTAACTAGCCCGTCCTTTCCAAAATTTCACAAAAATTTTCTTTGTTTTTTTCTTGTAATTGAGTGGATGGAGGGGGAGAGGAAGTGATTGAGGCAATGGTTTTTAAAAACATACATTAATAATAATAATGTTATTAAAATTACTTTTATTATTTTAACATATGTTATTAAATAATAATTTAATAAGAAGAAAATTGTCAAAGTGGGAATTCAAAAAAGTGCGTGGATGTTGTCAATGATAAGAAAGAGGATTGTGGTGTTATGAATGAAAAAGCTGGATGTCCTGCTTTAAGGAAACAAAGCGGGGGGGGGTGGGAGATTTCAGTGGAGAGGAATAAATGGGATTGGTCAGGGGTTTCAAAAGGGGGTTTAGAGCAAAGAAGGAGTGCAATAATTTGAAGGAAAGCTGGGGCGGGAAAAAGAGGGACTATAAATGTATTAAATTTTCAAGGATTATGGGGGATAAAAAAAAATTGGGATGTGAAAAAGGGTTTATAAAAAACTGTACCCCCTGGAAAAGAGAGAAGTGTAGAGGAGAGAAGAGATTTGGGGAAATGTTAGTAAGCTGGGGAGTTTTGAATCAATGTGGGAGTAAGGGTGGTTGGGATTTTAATGTAAAGTGGGTAAAAATGTTATGGAGGGGGGTGTAGGTAAAAAATTTGGGGGGCAGGGGGGAAATGTAAAAGGGGAGCCTTTAAATTTAGCTTGTGTAGAAAGAAATTTGGTAATAAGTAATACATATTTTATAAAAAGAGGATAAAAAATATCAAGGGATGATGTCACGTAAAGAAAGTAGTTTATTAGATTATGTATTGGTGGAAAAAGGTTGATGGGGAGGCTCCAGGATGTACATGTTTATGAGGGGAACTGATTTTCGGATCATTATTTGTTGTAGCTAAGTTTAAATAAGAGGTAATTGGGGAAAAAAGGAAGGGGCAACAACATAAGAGGGGGGTGAAAGTTTATAAACTAAGGAGGAGGGAATTCGGGTGAGATATAACGACTATTTGGGAAAAGGTGGGCTAGTGCAAAGAGATGGGGGGGGTTGAAGAAAAGGTTAATAGTTTTAAAAAAGCAGTTAGAATGTGGGGCAGAAGTTTGTGGTTTAGGAGGGTGGGGGCGGAGAAAGGGAGTGTTGGTGGGGTGTGAAGAAAGGGTGTGATAAAAAGAAAAAGGTAGCTTATGAAGGGGGTTTTTACAAAAAGCAGAAAGGGTTATAAGAAAAAGCAGGTATATGGAGATAAAAAAAGGTAAAAAGATGGTGAGAGATGCAAAAGGAGAGAATGAAGAGGGGGAGGCATGTCAAGAAATTTTAAGAAAATAAGAAAAAAAAAATTTGGTGGTTAAACAAGTTTAAAAAAGCCTGGGAAAATATGGATTTGTCAGTTAAAAAAAGAGTAGGGGAGTTAGTAGAGGGAATGGGGGTTTTGGGGGATGGGGGGAGAATATTTTGAGGAACTTTTAAAAAGTTAAGAAGAAACAAGGGAGTAATTTCATGCACTGTAGGGGGTATACCATCTTTTTGAGTGGGGAAAAAAGCAGAAAGTAAGTGGGGGGAGGTCGTAGGCATTTCGAAAATGAAAGGGGGTAAAAACAGCTGGGAAATGAGGGATTACAGAAATGTTAAAAGCAGGGGGGGTTATAGTGTTGGAGTGGGTTTGGGACTTTTGTTTAATAAATGTAAAAAGAGGGGAAGGACCCAGGGATTGGGAGAGAGCAGTATAGTCCCTTTTTTTAAAAGGGAAAGGGGGCAAAAAAGACTGTAAAAATTATAGGGAATAAGCTTACTGGTATACCAGGAAAAGTGTACGGTAGGGTTATAATTGAAAAAATTGAGGTAAGACAGAATGTAGGATTTCGGATGAGCAAAGGAGGTTTTTAGATGGGTGGGGGATGTGTAGATCGGGGTTTTACATTGAAGCATATATTGAACAGATTTAATAAGATGGGGGAAGTTTTTTTTGCATTTATGGATTTGAAAAGGCATATGATAAGGGGAAAGAGAGAAATTGCGATGTTGCAAGTTATGGAATAGGGGTAAGTTTTTAAATGCTGAAAGAGTTTTTATGAGGTAGTGAGGCTCAGGTTAGGGTGGTAAAGAGAGGGAACTACTCCCCGGTAAATAGGTCTTAGACGGGGATGGTAATGTCACCATGGTTGTTTAAATATTTTAGATGGGGTTGAAAGGGGGGAATAAATGCGGGGGTGTTTGGGAAAGGGGGGTGGGTTTAAAATTATGGGAATCAAATCAAATGGGAAATTGACACAGTTACTTTTTGCTATGATAGTGCTTATGGGAGATTCTAAAGAAAAATTGCAAGGTTTAGGGATATTTGGGAAGGGTTGTAAAGGAGAAAGTTGAAAGTGAACTAAAAAAGATAAGGGAGAGGGGTCAAAGGGTTTAGAAAAAGAAAAATTGGATATAAAATTTGGGGGGGGGTAGGAAAAGTGAATTTTTCAGAAATTTGGGGAGTTGACGTTCCCGGGGGATGGATTTAAAAGGATAGGTTTAAATCTAAATTGATGAGGAAAAAAGGTGGTGGTGCGTTGAGGTATATGTGGATAAAAAAAAGTTATTAGGAGGAAAAGAAGGGAATGTTGAAAAGTAATAGTACCAACACCTTTATAGGGGGTAAGCTTGGGGGAAAATGCACACAGGAGGGGTTGGAGCGCGGAGAGCCTTTTAAGGGAAATGGGGGTGTAAATATTATGCAAAAAATCGGGTGTGGAAATTTAGGGAAGGGTGGAGTTAATAAAAGTATTAGTCAGAGGGCAGAAGAGGGGTTTGTTGGGTGGTTTGGTCATTTAGAGAGAATGGACACAGTAGAAGACATGGAAAGATAAAAACTATAGGGGGAAAGGGAAAGGGGGGGTGGGGGTTCCTGAAAGGGTTGGGAGAGGGGGTAAGGAGGGGTTTTTGGGGGGAAGGGGGTTGGGCTTCCCGAAGCTGCGTGAGCGTGTTAGATAGGAGGAAAGGAACGAATGGGATTGGACCGACGATCTGTTTAGTGTGAGCAGGGGGAATATTTTTTGAAGGATTCGGGAAAAACCGGGTTTTTTTCATATAGTCGGATTTGGTCCCGGAATGGGAATACAATGCCCGACTTTAAAGGAGGGGTTTGGAAAATTGCATTTGGAGGGGTATGTTGTGTATCTTTTTTATGTTTATGCTTC